TATATATATATATATATATATATATATATATATATATATATTTCGGGGTCGGGGCCGGGGACCCGAAGGGTATTCCCATCCCCGCCCCCATCCCCGTTTTTAAATTTGGGGATTCCCCATCCCCGTCCCCGTCCCCGTCCCCGGTCAACTCGGGGATTCCCCGGTCAAATCGGGTACGGGTATCGGATTCCCCATCGGGTGCGAGTTTTTTTGCCATCCCTAGGAATGATGGAATTCGCGAGAGAGGTAGTAGGGCTAACATCGATTGACAAAACACCAGTACGATTTATGTTATTGATTTGATAATTTATAAAGGTTTTTTATATTTTTTTTACATGTTTCTTATAGTTGATGTTTTTTAAAGGGTGCTATAGGTGCACTTGATGGAACCCTGATACATGCAGTTGTGCCTAGTGATCAACAAACAAGATATATAGAAAGAGGAAGAGGGGAATGCCCAAAACGTTTTAGTCATTTGTGATTTTAATATGATATTCACGTTTGTATGGGCTAGATAGGAAGGCATTGCACATGATTCTAGAGTTTTGAGGGAAGTTGTATTTAACCCAACTTCGGGATTTCCGTTTCCTTCATCAAGTAAGTATCATTTTCTTAACATTAAAAGGTTATTATTAATTCATATTTTTTAAGTTGTAAGTTGTAGGTGTAATTAAAGATGAATATTATCCTTGTGATGCCGCATATACTTGTACCCGTGGATTTATGACTCCGTATCGAAATACGAGGTATTGGTTAGCAGATTTTCGGCGTAGACGTGCATTAACAAAAGAAGAAATGTTCAATCATGCTGATGCACAACTTAGAAATGTAATCGAGCATGCGTATGGTGTCTTAAAAGCAAGATTTCCAATCCTAAAGCAAATGACTCCTTATCCTTTTCCAATACAGAAAGATGTGGTGATTGCTTGTTTCACGATTCATAACTTTATAAGAAAACGTAATATCCAAGACCAATTATTCATGGAACACGATGAGAACACCATGTTTACTGTTGCTGAGGAACAACATGAAGGAAACAATGAAATAGAAGTTGATGAAATGCAATGGAGTTCTCAAGACAGTGAATATATGACTTGTTTGCATGATCAGATTGCAAATCAGTTATTGCCTAATATTTCAATTTAAGATTTGTGCGACAATTATTATGTTTAAATTCAATTTATTTTTCTGTCTAAATATATTTCAATTATGAAATTTGTATTTTTGCCATGTCAACAATTATTCATATATAATATTAAGTAAATAGTTGCATTAGTTTAAACATTTCATCATATATAGGGTTATAATGGTCATTTTTTATTAGTCAGCACCAAATCCAGAATACTTGGTAAACAGTTTTTTTACAAACAACACTTACTCCAATCAGATATGCTTACTCTAATCAGACCTCTTATTTCAGACAACGCTTACCAGCTATTGTTGGTAAACTTAAAGGTGTTCTCTTAAATTTTATAAAACTAGAGGGATGCACCTTAAACTTCATTATCAGAAATACAAAGTTAATAATTACATTCACTTCCCTCTCTTTTAATAACACCTCTTCATTTCCTTTACTATCTTTATTCCAATGTGGAACAACTTTACCAAGACTTTTATAGTTTTTTTGTTGTTGTCTTTTTCTAATTATGATTTCAGTAAAAAAAAATGATTAGTTTTTATAGTTAAAAAATCCACAATTTTGTTTAAATATCTAAAAATATAAGACATTTTTATTATAATATATTCTACAAGTTATATTATAAAATTGATTATATTTAAAACTAATTATATATATATATATATATATATATATATATAAAAATCGAGTATCTCACGAGTTTCTCGAGTCGAGCCTATTTGAGTCAAGTGTTGAATGAACTTTGACCGAATCGATCTTGAGTAGCTCACGGGTTGTCTTATATCATTTACACTTTTGATATTGGACTCTAATCCTTAAGCATGAGGATTAGGTAAAAATTGAGACAATCATGTTATATTGATTTTTGAGTTGCTAGCAACCTAAAACCGTGTTAGTCTTTTTACAAAAAAATTCTTAATATTTTTATTTATGAAAACGTCCTAAAAACCTCTTTCATAAAATGTCTATAAAAATATTAACATGACGTTGTCCAATATTATACTGACAACTTGTTTTTTAAATGGATAACGTGTTGGGCTTTCATGTTATTTGATTTCTTTATATATGAGTATACAATATTCAATTTAGGTCTAATAAATATACAAGTCTCAATTAAGACGGTTAACTATAATATCATGTGACATCTGCTATGAAATCGAATTGTGCTTGTAGACAAATATAAAATCAAAGTGATTATATATATATATATATATATATATATATATATATATATATATCTTCCAATATGACCATGCTTTCAGTAATTTGAATTTTTTTTAAAAATCAAACTTACAAAAATCAGTGTTAATATATTAAGAGAATCGTTGATAGAAAACCTTTACAAGAGTGACTAATCACCGTGAGGTAGGGTTGTATGTTGGTTGGTATATATATAGGTTCTTCTGACAAAGATTTAAATCCAAAATTATTTAAAAACCAAAGAAAATTCCCGATGTGGGGTTTGATTCAATATCAAGAATCAAACCCTGGAATCTAAGAACAGTAAAACCAAAACGTCGAAAGAGGAAACCCTCAACTTGATCACCACAAGAGGACAAAGTTACGGGTTTAAAATTATCGTATTTGATTTGACATATAATTTGATAAATTTATTTATAACAATTTAAAATTGAAAAAAACTTATGAATTATAATCAATTTCACCAGTATCTTTAAAAAAGACGACATCTGGTTTGATCAAATGACTCAAGATAATAAGTATTGTGTTTTTATAAAAAAGTAATATTGTAATTATCTAGGTGAGTTTAATCACGATACTGTTAAATCATATAAATTATCTTTTACTCATTTGCTAAATGCATTAATGGGGTGGTTAACTGTATGTTTTCAAGAAATTGTTGTGACTTTAAGGAATGAAAATCAGATTAAAAAGTGTTATAAAAGACCAAAGCCTGTATTCAGTCTAAGCCAGTTACGGGTTGGTTCAATTCTTTAATTAGTCTTACATTTGTTTGCTTTTTTACAAATGATTGGTCCAAACAAGGAAGCGGGTGCCTACATGACCGGTCAAAGGTTCAAATGATCAAGTGCGATCGTCCTAAACCTTCTGGAGAAGCAAAAACTACTTTTTGTCAAATTCCAGACGTCCAGATGTTGCTTCTATTGCCAACCTACCCAACCCAAGTACCCAACCCGTAAATAGCCCGATTAAACTCAACCCATCGAACTACCAACCTGCAAACACAACCAATAACCTGGGTTAGACATAGCTCATCCCAACCCGTCAATAATATATAAAAAAACAACAATAATATATAAATTATAGGTTTAAATAATTTTTTTGACAATTAATGCCTATTGACTACTCCTGTTGTAAATGTGTCTTGGTTGTTGTATATCCAATTCACCATGGTATTTGTCTTCATAGTTCATATAGCTAACCTTGTTGCACTATATAAATCATAAGTAGTCAGAGAGGTCATAATTAACTGCATTGTTTTTATACACGAACGCCTTGAAAATTCGCATTCGTTGTCATGATTTTGTTAATAACTCTGAAGAGATATCAATATACCATTAGCAGATTATTTCATGCAATAAAGGCATTTCTAAAACAGTTCATTATGTTTTAAAAGAAATTCTGAAATTGAAATCATGGGATTCAATAGAACCCACAAACATTGCATTTAGAAATCACAGACAGATAGTTGGTATTAATTTTATGGGATTTCATAAGATTTGTTTATAACAATGTTTTAAAATATGTTAAAAACATTCGCTTTGTAATAATTAATTAACAAAAGATAATTTAATTATTATAATTCTAAACTTCTGCAATTCCAAATCATTCCATGAAATCCAAATAAAAAAAAACATCCTATAAAACACCTACACCACTACTGCCTCCACCCCCCATCGCTACTATTCTATTCAACGAACCAAACAAACAAATTCAACTATTTTTGACAGATTCCATTCTAATTCCTGTCATCCAAACGCACAATCAAACATTATTAAACTTCATTCCAATTAACTCAAATTCCAATTCCCTTGTCAAATATCATTTTCGACATATTGCATTATGTGAACCAAACGCCACATTCGATTCGTTTCTTTCTGGTATTTCATGTGAGCAACATTCTTTTTCCTAAAAAATAAAATCGAGCTGTCAAGATTGATTAAGAATCAATTCAGATTCGTCGAAACCAATCATGACAACCGGTCTTTTTTATATCAAAATATAAAATCAAACAAAATTTATGATTAAAAAATTTAAAATAATTAATTGATCTCATATTTATCTTGGAAAAAAGGGCCATTCTTACCCTAATTAAATTCTTATCTGATTTTGTTTATAAAAATTTAAAAGATTAAAATCAAAATAAATTTTAAAACAATGTAAAAGATTGCTGCATTGAAAAATACCGTTTTATAGTATCCAAGATTTGGAGATTTGCTCGAAATTCAAAAGTTCCCCAAAACCCCTCTCTTTGATTCAATCACAAATTCAGTGTCGAACGAATTTGAATCTCTTTCTTTCTCTCTCCCCTTTTCACACAGAGTCGAGTACTCGCATATCTCGGCGAGACTGAAGAACAATATCGGCCTTCAATCTCTTCTTTACTTCCATATTTCGAATGTCTTTATTTCTGGCGATGAAAATAACTTGTTTCTTCTGAAGTAGTTCGGAAATCCGAGCTTTAGAGGTCGATACTTCCATTTTCAATCCCTTATCGCGCATACAGGTATTGGGTTATTCTTTTCTTTCTAAATTGATGTATGGATTTTTTGTGAAGCGTTTGATTAATTTAGTGTGTCGGATGCTGATAAATTTGGGGTTTCTTTGGGTGTGGAAGAGAAAGTATAGTATGCGTACATGATTTGGTACCCTGTCAACCCGTTAGGCTTATTTTTGCATGTTCATTCGAGATGGAGGTTGCGGTTTATTTGTGTTTACTACAGGAGGTTCCAATTAGAGTTCTTTCGACTGTGTTTTTGTTTTGATGCATATTCAAATTGGTTGCTTCGTTTGAGTCATACTGTGAATTTACGAGCTCCCTTGAAGAATTCTGTCTAGGGTTTTGACCGCCACTTTTTGTTCATTTAGTAGTTTTTCCCTTGGCTATCCCATTCTTCTTCCCCTTTTGGGTTGGTGATTCTATCGTAGATTATGTAATTTGTTATGAATTATTGGTTTTAGCTTGACCATGTAGACTCTTGTATACGGTAATGGGAGTCGGAGAACCATTATATCTTTGATGCATTAATAACTGTGTCTTAAGGTGCTAATGTGTCTGATTTATGTTATTTGAAGGGATCATGTTTATTTCTGACATTTAAACATATTCAATTCCTGTGACGCTAAATGTATTCGTGACAAACACATCCAGTTCTCGCAAAAACCCATTGAGCAGATCTTGGATCCATCGTTGTGAGTTTGCTATGGAGGGTGTGTTAATTGACTGTGTACAGAACAGTCTACGGCATCTGTTGTACCGCAATGCTATTTTCATGTGCGAACGGCTCTGCTCTGAGTTTCCCTCGGAGGTATGTATCTTTTTTTCAAACCCATGAATGTGTTTTTTGAGACTCAATATTTCCCTATGTTCTGATATTATCGCAAAGTTTTGTCTTCAACTTCCCAAAAAAATGACTTAGTGTAAGTAGGCACTATTATTAGCTACTTCGATAAAAGAGAATGATGAAGAATAATTGCTAAAAACAAGTAGTGTGAATTTATAAAAAAATTCTTATCTTCATGAAAGAAGCCAAAGTAAGTCTACTTTGAAAGGAAAAGATGTGCCCATCAAAATTTACCTAAAATAAGCAAAACCCTTTCATTGTTGGTTTAGTATAGAAGAGTTAGGTGCTTGTGTAACTCTTCATATATCTTGATCTGGAGTGTCAAGCTTCTGTTATAGAGAGGACTTGGGGGAACTTTTAGTTAATAGAGGATATTAAGCAGAATTAAGATTTTATTTTTTTGCTGCTTCAAGTTTTAGCAAAAGCAAGTAAATTCTAATTAATCAAGTTGCCTTATTTGACAAGTCAACTATACTTCTTCATAGCTTCATTTTTTGGTAATGCACCTATCATAGTAACTAGTTTTCTATCAAATTATTCTTTCTTGCTAATTTTGTCGAGTGCAGGCAAACTTGCAATTGTTAGCTGCATGTTACTTGCAAAGCAACCAAGCTTACTCAGCTTACCACATTCTAAAGGGTATGTGGGACCTCGCCCTTTTTTGTTTAAGTAGTTTCATGTCATTGCCATAGCATTATAAACTCAACATAAGTATCTCGCACTTTCCCTTTTCATCTTAATGTATACATTACTTTTTAAGTTATTAGCATGTATAAAATGAAGGGAAACTTACTGTTTTTTTCCATTTGTCAATATCATTTGAACTAGAGGAACAGAAATGCCTGAGGCCAGATACTTGTAGATGAATCTTCTGAGCGGTTTTAGGGATTTTAACTTTGGTCTTTGAACTTTAAAATTGTTAACCATGGGTCTGCAATTCTGCATCAATATGATTTAGTCCCTTTGCGGTGGCGATGCTTGTGGTTATGGCCTGCTAGTTGAATACAAGTATTTACCCTCACAATGAAGAGTTCTATTTTAAATTTAGAAACACAATTCTCTGAACCATTACATATATAAGAACAGGGGTCAAATTATCAATTATTTTGAAAGGTTCATCTTCATCATTATCCTCTTCTGTTAGATTTCAAAACAATCTTCAGAATATAAATTGGTAGTCCTGAGAATTTGTGCTACATTCATCCAAACATGAGAACAGTCTCAGTTGTTGCAGAGCTGTTTCTAAAGTTGAGGAAAGCCACAAAAAAGTTCCACCCTTTTAATCTCTTTCTACCCCCTTTCCACTGCTGCCTCTAACATCAAACCAAGACTGAAATGAAAACTTGACTTGGCAGTTGGAATTACTAAAGCTTTCTTCTATTAGTTTAATTTTCATCTCCAGAAACGATTTCATTCAGATCGAGAAGTATCAAAAAATGGCTGCTACAGTTTCATTCGATTCATCTGATTGCATCTGGAAAAGTCAAAATCAATCTTTAAAATTCAAACAGCTGAAATCAACACACATTGTTTGTCAAATATCAAAAGGTAGACCGTGCTGATGTGTAATTGAAGTTAGAAAGTAACTTTGATTGGGATTTTTTTTCCATGATAATAGAACAGTGAGCTTGATTTTGATGATGGGATTTTGACTTTCTTTGGTGATACAGTAGGGAGTCAGCACTTATTGGAAATGGTAAAAATTAAGCAAACTCAAAATGGTTTAATTGATAAAAAAATTATATACTTGTACGTTATGCAATTAAGGCTCTATACGATTCAATTTGTTTTTCTATCTTATAATTGAACAAGACTTGATAAAAAGATCGTTATTTTACTAGCATATAAATTAAAAGTAATATGTGATGGTAGGATCACAAAAAAGAAAAACACTTCAAAATGTAATTTTTTTTGACGTTCACCTCTGAGGCCTATGGTTGATGTATTAGAGTTCATAGGTCAAATTTCCCTTTATGAGGAGGTCATGGACTCAAATAGTGTCACTTCCTTCTGGTTTAGATACTCTATCTATTATGACTGGGAACTTATTGTATTTTTCCTGTTTTCTTCAATCATTTTAATTTGAAGGAACACAAATGCCTCAGTCCAGATACTTGTTTGCAATATCATGCTTTCAGATGGATCTCCTGAATGAAGCCGAAATGGCATTATGCCCTTCTAATGAGCCTAATGCAGAGGTAATCACTGATTTTTGTATTGTTGGAACACATGGAACTGGAACATACATTCAACAATTCTTGATGAGTCTGGTTATAAGCATTATTATGTATACATGCATATGTTTTCTTTTGACGTTTTCTGGTTAAATTTATATGAATGACAATGTTAATAATAATGGAAGCATGTCACAGATTAAAAGAGCACTTGCTCATTGCATTTTCTTTTTCTTTCCAGGTCCCAAATGGTGCAGCTGGTCATTATCTTCTTGGGCTCGTATACAGGTATATAACCGCAATTTTCTTAAATTATCCTTTTATTTGCGGCTTGAGAAGTATAGTTATTTAAGGGTATATAGAAGTCTTTCTATTATAGTTCATGTTGTATTTCTTCCTGCGCTTGAAGATAGTCCACCAGCAGAGAGGTTGTTTCCATGATTTCAATATAGTAGCAGTTGACCCCATTTTTGAAACATCGAGTTCATTGCCAAGGCGATACAAGAAATTATAAAAACAAAATGCAAAGCCTTATGATTGAACTTCATTTGCTTTGCGAATGACTGCTATTTATTGTTCATGAGATATAGGAAATTGATTATAGCATGCGTGTTTTATGAACTACTGCATCAACAAGTACCAAAAATAAGAGCCAGAATAGCGGAATAATTGAGGAACTGATTCTGTTGGTTGGAGCATCAGTGCGTAATTTTTATTTATAGGAATTACCTTTTACTTATAGACGAAGAAAAAGAAAACATATGACATTGTTTTTGTTCTCTTTTGGGGGTGGGGGGAAGTAGCTCAACTAGGCATTGTTTCCTTGTAGTGAAATTCATCTTGAGATCAGATGTCTTGTGGATAGCCTTGGAATGGTTTCAGGACTTAATCTGAGCATTCTTTATTATTTTTTGGTTTATACTTATGATGTTGAGCTTTTTCACAAGCGAAAGATAACATGATGTATGGAGGTGGTGAAGGTCCTCAAGGGATTAGCAAAGCATACTAAGTGTATATGAATACTTTTTGAAGTTTGAATGGGCATACGATAGCGGTTGAAGGCTTGTGGTGGAAAATGGATCATTTTAGGCATTCATATGCTTTGTTAAGTGCGAATATAGTCATAAGGCAATTGTCCATGTTTTAAGGCTTTAAGGTGTCTTGTATCATGTTTCTTTAAAAATGAATTCTGGAGGGCAGTCATAATGTTTTCTTGAACTATGTAGAGAAGCACCACAATTAATAAAATAATCTTAAATTCTTACAAAAAACATATTAGTCTTGAATATGAGAAATGCTAGGTTTAACATTTGAAAATGGGAAGTCAACACTTATCATATAACATACGGAGTAGTTTGGAATTGATGATGGATAAGGTGTGAAGGAAAGAGGCAAATAAGAATATAAGTATACACCTTTATCATATAATGTCGTAAAATTGAAATAAAGTACTTTCATCGGATACAATTTTAGGAAATAGATGCTTCATTGAAGACACATATATTACATGGGTGGGATGATATCTAATAAGAGACAACCTTAGCAAGCAACAGAATAAGCCAACTAAACATACCAAGTATATATCAGAGGTAGGGACAGGGGGAGGGAAGATATATGCGGACCTTAGAGAGGCTGTTTCCAATGAAGACCCGTGACTTGTAACTTTAATTTCAATAGCAAAGCTCCTTACAGGAGTTGTAGCAAAGCTCACTAGGATTAAGTTCAACCATCAAAGTCAAAAGGAAGAAATAATAAAAGTAGATGGTTGCACATCATATGCTCAGACATCCAACCGTCTTTGTTTGGATCTAGCACATACATGTTCGAGCATATGATATTTCCATGTTAAGTTCTTGGTAAAATCTATCTTTCGACTAACACAGTTTCACAATTTTAGCAAATTGATCATTGTGAACAGAAAAAGAAAAAAACACATTCATAATATACACAGAACTGATCCATGTTGAACAGAAAAAAATAAAAAAACAGATCTATAATGAACAGAAAAAGCATCTATGATGAAAACAGATCTATAACAAGAACAGACCGGCGAGAGTCATAGAAATATACTGGAGAAACAGATCTGTGAGGAGGAGAGGAGATCATTGATTGAACAGATCAGCAAGGAGAGGAGATTGTTGATTGAACAGATCGGCGAGGAGAGGAGAGGACCTGTGAGGCTTGAACAGATTGGCGCGGAGAGTGACCTGCGACAGATCGGCTTTGGAGTGTTTTTTTGGATGCTCCACGTGTTTCACAAGGGTAAAGATGGAAAAACAATGGCTGAATGGATACAACACCAAATTCTTGGTTGACCAAATAAGTCACTAGCTGAGTCATTAAGCCACAGCCAAACTACCCTGTATGGCTTATTGAATAAGCCATACAGTGTGTTCAGCTCAATAAGCCCCAGCCAAACAGGACCTTAGTGTTTTGTGTAGCTGCTCTCATGACAATTTGAATTGGCAATTGTTAGCAGAAGTGGTAGATGTTGATTTATTAGAGGGCATCAATTTTCATGCCAAAGATTCTTATTTCAAGGACGAAAGAGCATTTTGGTTCTATGCCCTAACTGATCTACTTATTAATGGATGGTTTGTCTTGTTCTGTTTTTTGTGTTATGCATTTGGTTTGTCACATATTAATATTTCTTAACTCATGGGCTCATAATGTCTTTCAGATACACAGATAGAATGAGAAGTGCTGCTCATCAATTTAACCAGGCTTTATCACTAGATCCTCTGTTGTGGGCTGCATACGAGGAGTTGTGTAAATTAGGTAGGCCATGTAGTAAGCAAGTTTGCCAAATATTTTTTTTACAGTGTGGCTTTATGGTGCTTTAATTGCACAACAGGGTGTATGTTTTCATATATCATGGTTTTCAACAGTATTATTAAAATGCAACAGTTTGTTTAATTCACGTTGTTTGCAATGCAATATGATGGTTCATCAAAATCCCACTTCATCTTTTACGGATTGGAAGCATCTTATGTTTCAGGATCTGCTGGAGAAGCAACAGCAGTGTTTGGGGAATCTGCTTCTGAATGCATCCAGAAGCAGTATTTGAGTCATGATGTAGCTCCCCAGTTGCAGTCATCCAGTGACGATCACCATCCAGTTTCTGGGAGACAACTGGCTGAAAGTGTTAGTCCAAGGCATTTGAGACATTTGCATGTCAATAACATTAAGGAAAATTCTGTAAATCATAATGGTGCAGTTTTTTCTGGAAGCGCTGCTAGCCAATCCAATAATGGCGTTCATGCTAACATATCGTTTTATAATACTCCGTCCCCAATGGCCAACCAGGTTTACTTGCTGAACTGACCTTGTATCTTCCTCATTTGTTTGTTATTCGTTCTTTTATCTTCAGCAGTACTTTTCCATCCTTTTCCTAGATCACTGCTCTGCATGGGTACGAACTTGCTATTCTGGCTTAGTTGTAACTGAGCACTTTGAAGTTGTAACACGTTAGGCAATTGGTAGGATGCATCTCCATCTGCAAGCATGCAGTTTGTTAATTGGGCTCTAGCATTTTTCCCCATGTTTTAAGAACTCAGTTGACTGGTCTTTGGATGCCATGAGAATCTGAGAGGAGTAATTTTCGTGTTTACCTCAAAGTTAGAAGTGCGATTCTTGATTTTGTGGGATGAAATATAATAACTCTTATGTTTCTATATCTTTTTAATTCTTGGCCTTTTCTCTTGGCACATTCTTGTAATTGTAGTTGTTCTGTTAGAACAATGTATTTAAATTTATGACCACTTAAATATTTATAAAAACAGCTTCTATTGTATATTTATGCATTATATTTTCACATGTCATATCTTACCGAACTAAGCTAAAATCATGGATCTTAAATTCATCTCTTTCTTTTGTTATGTTACTACCAAAACATATCCCTAGGCCTTGCTGCCTCAAGATATGGATTTGCCTATTTGATTGATTTTCTCTCTGATGCTTCTTGGTTTAGGCATGGTATAAAATATTAGTCGAACATCTGACTTATATCTGTATTCATTTTGATTTTGCATCATGTTGTCACTTTATTCTTCTATCATATATGTACAGAAGCTCTGTTATCGACTATGATCTATGCACTAGATCTCTCCATTTTCATTTTTTTGTTATTTTTACATGGGGTGGATGGATTGTGAATTTGATGGGATTGAATGTGACATTCTATATATTCTCAAGTCATAGGAGTAATTTTGAGTAACTGAATACATCTATGTTATTAATCAGTAAATTCTGTGCTGGATTATTGTATTCCCTTGACATGCACAATAAAATCGTCTTTTATTTATTTATGGTTGGGGCAGGGTTGGTGGTAGGAAGGCTGGACCACAAATTTGATGAAATTACAAAATTATATTTTTCAAGAGTTGAGAGAGTTGTTGCCATGTTTGCAGATAGAGACTACAATGTTACACCGTTCTAAGTTATCTGGTATTTTGTAGCTGTCAGGTATGGCTCCTCCACCTATATGTAGAAACATGCTCCCAAATGGTCCAAATTCTAGTTCCGTTGGTGCTGATGGGTCCCCAAGATCAACCGTGAAATCTACCATTCAAGCTCCTCGAAGAAAGTTTGTGGATGAGGGAAAGCTAAGAAAGGTTGTGAATTTGTTACTTAGTCTAAATTATCTTCCTGCAATTCTGCTATGCTTAATCATGTTACATATACAAAGAAGACAAGCCCCACCATCCTGTAAACTGATGAGCTGCATTACTATTAAGTGGTGGTAAAAAAAGTTGCTTTGCCACACATGCTTGCTCTAGTTTTTATTGGTTCTTTATTTTTTTTTTAAAGTTTCTGCTATAGTTTCTTTATTTGGGTAGAGCATTAGAATCATTCTCTAAAGTATTCATGTTAAATGTATGGCAAACCATATTAATATGTTAAGTGAATTAAGTAAATTGCAAGTGTCTGGATGATTTGAAGGAAGCAAGTTTTTTATGTGCCACTCTTATGTGAAATGGCAAGTTGTCCATTGGTGCTGAGCAGATGGTTGTGCTCTTTCTAGGTGTTAACAGATAGATGTCTGAGCTGCCCATTAATTAAATAAACGATCATTTTATCAATAGCATTGTTACAACTGCTTGCATCATCTAACTTCTATTTTATATTAGATTTCTATCTGTGTAATTGTGCAGTAATTGTGGCTTGTCATACTGAAGCATTGGAACTCAGAGGTTCTGATTTCAACATATAGTAATCCTACTTTTTATGTTCTACAATGCTTTCGTGGAAGCAAGTGCATTCAGTTGGTCGTTCTTATTGAGAGCACATCTTGGTTGACTGGGCATGTTGAGTGCAGAGGTTGCTGTATAGAATTAAGTTTCTGACTTTAGATCATTCTATTTCTAAAATGTTGGTTATAGTGATCACCCTTGAATTGAAATGGGAGAGAATAGGGGGGGGGGGGGGGAAGGTGTAGAGCAAAAATGACATATGTACCTACTTCCATGTTCATGCATGTGGACTCGTTCTCTTTTGCATGATACTTGAAGTTGACAAATTCGATGTAGACGTTTATGATAGTTCACCACTGCAACTGCATCTCAGATATTTGGTACATGTAGAAAGTGTGTAGAATCCATGCTTTGAATTTTAAGTAGGCAGATTGCTTTTCTCTACACCAGCAGCTCAGGTGCTTGCTGCAACAGTTCTTGTTTTTCTCTCTGTAATTTTGGTGGTTTGTTACACTGTGGCTTCTATTTCTTATTTAGTCAAAAAAAGAATCCATCATTATATTGTCACAAATCCAGCTTCCTTCGATATTTCTTGTTTATCTACAGGCCATGTTCTTTATGCTATCCCTTTAACATGTTTTCTGTTGTTTTCCAGATATCAGGAAGGTTGTTCTCTGATTCTGGTCCCAGACGAAGCACCAGACTTGCCGGAGAAACTGGTTCCATAGCAAATTTAAGTGGCATTGCTGTAGCTGGGAATGGAGCAAATCATTCTTCTAAATATCCTAGCAGTAGTTCTAAGTTGGGCTCTGCAGCATTTCGTTCAGTAACTGTTAGAAAGGGGCAATCCTGGTCTACTGAAAGTCTTACTGAAGGTTAAATTGATATTTTTGATATGCTCCCTTTCTTCACTTATCTAAGTCATGTGAAAGGAATGAGAGAATCTCTCAGAGTGTGGTTATAGAAACTTAGATATTTCTCAGATGGTAGATCAATTGCATCAACGGTAAAAGTTATTACCCCCTTGATTCTTTTTCATAATACAGTAGTTTTGACATTTGGATGATTCACCATCTTTGCCTTTTCTGCTTGTGCTGCTGGATTATTTACAAGTCTGCCTTTTATCTTATCAAGGTTCTAATGTGTGGGTCTGTTTTCGTTCTTATGGGTTTAAATTATTATTACACACTAGTAAGATAATGCTGGTGATTCATTTTCACCTTCCCTAAGAATGATATAGAAAAATATCTTCATGCTTTATATTCACTTTTTAAAATTTTATGCAATGGGAGGGTAATCATCTAGTTAGTTTACAATAGTCTATTTACTACTTAATTCAAAATTGTAAGAATGTCTATTCTCACCTCTTACAGTATGCTGCTTGTCGAAAATTGGAATCCCACCCATAATCTCACTTTTGCAGGGACCCGGTCTGAGCTTGACGACTCTCGTTCAAATACTACCACCACTTCTGGTTCATCCCCCTCACCTGATACTAGATCTTCTGAACGTGATGGTTCAATCATGTCAATAGGTCGGGCTTCCATGAGTGTATCAAAAGTTGCTAGTGGTGCTTCAGAAGTACTGTCCCTTATGAAAATCCTTGGGGAAGGTTACAGACTTTCCTGTCTATACCGGTGTCAGGTATTGTAAAGCGGTGAAGTAACAAATGCTATTCTTGTTGTTGATGTACCTTGCTGATTACTACCTTCTGTAAAACAGGATGCACTTGATGTATTTCTGCAACTTCCTCATAAGCATTATAACACAGGCTGGGTGCTATCTCAGGTGAGTTAATGTTTATATAATATAACACAGTGCATGAGTTCTTTTTATAGCGGTGGTAATATATATATATATATATATATATATAAATAATATGTATGCATACATAGACATATCATATGCATTAATTAAAAATATAGTTTGAACATCAAAACATCAAATTAAACAAGTTTCACAAAACAATATAAGAGAAGTGTTCGTAACCGATCTAATCGCAAGCAATAGGTTCAACATCCGAGTCAAACGTGGTCGTTGGACTTGTGGTCGTGGGACTTGTCTAAAGCTGAAGCAGACGTTGGAGTGGAGGAAACTGTTGACCGTGGTTGTGGGACTCACATTAGACCGCAATTTGAAGCCAAATATCGGTGAATCGCGCCGATATTATCGGAACCGCTATTTGACCACCGCTATTTTGCAAATGTCCGATAACCGATATTGCGCCGCTATTGCACCGCTATTAACAGTTTAGACCCAAAAAGAATAGTTTTGTATTGAGAAGAGGAAAGAACATAGAGCACACAATAACAATAGGCCAGGATAGAGAACCTGAGAAACATAAATGTAAATGCTAGGATCCTACATATCTTATTCCTCTTCAAGTTGGAGCATAAATATGAAATATGCCAAACTTGCTGCATATAAGATCAATCTGAGGGCCACAAAGGGGCTTGGTCAAGATATAAGCAACCCGGTGCCCCTTGCGCACCCAAATTGGCATAAGAGGAGGCTTTCAAGAATCAAGAAATATCAACCTAATTAATACCGGGAGTTCAATGCATATGTGCATATCTCAACTTAATGATCAGTGGAGATATGATATCCTTTTTCTTGCTTCTATCTGTAATATATATTTAAATTGATATTTATGTATTTTTGATTTTGTGGTGTTGTGACAGGTTGGAAAAGCTCATTTTGAATTGGTTGATTATCTAGAAGCTGAGCGTGCCTTTAGCAATGCCCGCTTGGCTTCCCCTTATAGCTTAGAAGGAATGGATATATATTCTACCGTTCTATATGTAAGTTCTTGTACTTATCTAATCTTTATAATTGCTATGCCAATTGTTATTACTCTACTAGGTATAGCAGCTGAATATTTTTACTATTCACCTCTGAAATCATTCCATATATTTTATCATGATATAGAGACGGAAACAAGGCAAAATCTGAATGGCATGAAACAGATAGTATGCTCTGATATAAGTGTTAAAGGAAGGGATGTAATGATCCCAAAGACGAGAATAATATACCTGGTTGTCCCTCCATTTGAAAATGAGCTACACCTTGAAAATGATTGTAATTTGATTTTGACAGTTGTATGTTTACAAAGTATATCCAGACTGAAAATCAGGAATTTTGTAGTTGTGCCATGCTGTATTAGTCGTGGCTGGTGAATCATTACTGAAATGGAGACATGTTTAGTGTGTATGACCATTTTGAGAATGAGGGCATAGTAATTCTAATATCTTGTTTCACATTTTTACTGAAATATTCATGAAGATCCTTCTAGAAGGTGGAAAGATGGATGTCACAAAAAATAGAATTTCTTAACATAAATAGTTTTAAGGTCCATCTATTTGCAAGTTACATGGCAACGGAAGTATTATAAAATGTGACAAGTTATGAAGGTTAAGTTGATGGCTGCTTATTATGTTATACCTATGGAGAGATAGTTGATTGATTTTTCAGAAAAAAACAAAGGTTGTTTGGCTTTGCCTTTTTACACAATGAAGAGGTTGTAACATTTGAATGCGGGGTTAGAAGCAATGGAAGAGGTTTCCGTCTGTAATGACCTGATCAGGTTATCAGAGATCATCAGCTTCCTTCAACAAGCTAAACCTAGATGTTATTAAAAGTAGTCGTAAATTCGTAATTCATTCAATGGAATTTTTTCATCATAATAGTCATGGTAGTTTTTGATTAAAGTCTTGGTTTGCAATAGAGAGGCACCTCACTCCATACATCAAGAATTCATGAGTAGACCCATTGTTTGCCATGATGTCCATAATCACATGAATATAACTTTGCCACACATAACAGAGTTCTTTCAATTTTCTGGATAGTCATTTGCTTCTTTGAGATGTGTTTGTAGATATTAGATATGTGGGGATTGGTTGCTTCTTTCCTTTCTCTGCACAACAAATACTTGTAATCAAACTAAATTTTCTTGCTGTGAATTGATGTAAATATACATTTAGCCAGAGATGTATTAGAGAAAGACGGTATAGTAGTAATGGTAGCACCAATAAGAAAGTCAAGTTTCATATAATACATACTTGTAACAAGGGACTGTAAAGTTGATTTAGAAAAAAGGGAAAAGGGATGTAGCTTTTAGAAACAAGATAAATCCTAGTAAAATCAGTGGAGAAAAAGGAGTTATAGCATCCTGTAAAGGAATATGGTGAAATTCAGGTGAATGGTACTCCATTTTGTTATGTTTGTCATGGCAAAAATAAGATTGCACATATAACATGTTAGAAAATTATGAACCTTTAGAAGTGAAAAGTGATATGAAAGATTGATGGAGAAATTATTATTTAAAGGAAATTCATATAGAAACATTAATATATATAAAATTGCAGAGGGAAAAATGGTTGGTTAAACACCATTTCTTCTATGTATATAATCTGATTTTAGACATTAACACCGGTTGTCATTGTTGTCATGTCAAATCCAAGTACAGCATGCTAACTAAGTTGTACCATGTATCATTCGGACACCCTTATGATAGTTTGTATGAATCAAGTACTTCTAGTTCTCCCTCATTTGTTCCTAAACCAACAAATCTCCATTTGGAACCTTGTAGATGATATCATAAATGGTTAAAGTGAATGGGATTGCTACATGTTTTTTTAATTTTCAGCTAACTACGTGTGACATCAAGTTTACATCATTTATTCAATTAATACGTGTAAGCCATATGTTGAGCTAGTTTTCCATAATCTTTGGTCTTTTTATGTTGTAGCATCTGAAGGAGGATATGAGATTGAGTTATTTGGCACAGGAGCTAATATCAACAGACCGCTTGGCCCCTCAGTCATGGTAAGCATTATAAAATTTATAAGAGTGCATTGGGTATTCAGACAACAAGACGATTAAAATGACACTAAAAAAAAAGTTTATGTAGTTTCCAATTTTTATTTTGTACCTTTTTTATATTATCTTTTTCATTTTTAATATTTAATATATAACATGATCAACCAAAACACAGAAACTATAAAAATAATATTTTGATGACAGTAAAGTGAAAGTTTAAAGAGCATAAAATACAATAAATAAAATTTAAAGAATGAATAAAATGTAAAGAGGAAGGCGTATTTGATGTTTTAGAAGAGAATTAGGTTCTATTAGTAAAATATAGGCCCGCTCCATCTTGTTCCATGGGGTGGGAGTGGAACGCGCCTGTTCCACTTTGTTTCATTCTGTTCTTGTCTATTCCACATAAAAATCCTGCCAAACGTGGAACAATGATCCATGTCCTGCCCTATGTTGTATACCAGATGCATCCTAAAGATATGCTTTTTAGCCTCAATTTACCTTTTTTCTGTACAAATGTGGCAGGTGTGCAATGGGAAATTGCTATAGCATGCAGAAAGACCATGAAACTGCTCTCAAGAACTTTCAACGAGCAGTGCAGCTAAATTCAAGATTCACCTATGCTCACACCCTTTGTGGCCATGAGTATGAATTTGCTTCTTTTTTTCATGACTTAATCTCGACACTATAGTTCTTTCTACTTCTAAATTGTATGAAAACTCTCTTTACTACCTTAACTGACCCTTTGGTGATCTACATATGAATCTATCATCAATTACAGATATGTGGCTTTGGAGGATTTCGAGAATGGAATTAAGAGTTACCAAAATGCCCTTCAGATTGATGCAAGACATTATAATGCTTGGTATGGTCTTGCAATGATATATCTTCGCCAGGAGAAATACGAGTTCTCGGAGCATCATTTTCGAAAGGCTCTCCAAATAAACCCTCGTTCTTCTGTGATAATGTCTTATCTTGGGACTTCCTTGCATGCCTTGAAGGTTCGATCTCATTCATTGCTGATTACTTCTAGTTACTCTTTGACATAAAAATTGGTACACTTCACTTTTTGGGTTGTTTCTGGGTCATATTCCAAGTTAGAATGCCTATTTTTCCATATCATCATTATAAATAATATTGATTGCATCGATTTACGTCCATACAACAGATTCTCTAAAATAGAGAAAATGAAGATTTTAGGCTACTTTTTTACTCCAACAGGTTCACTAAAACTTTCTCTAAAATGGAGAAAGTAGGGGACAGGGGATAAACATCTCCAAATTTGGAGCACTCCCTAAAATTAAATGTTTATGAGAGAATTTTTTATTTATTGTTTTCAATGAGGTTGAATGTATTGAAAAAGTTTATTGCGATGATAAGTTTATAGAATATTTTTATAATATAATTAATGTTGAAATCTCCAAAATAGAGAAATTGTTGGAGTTGAGTGCATTTTTTTAGAGATTAACTTTTACTTCTTTAATTTAGAGAAATTATAGAAATCTGTTGATAGATGCTTTAAAGATATCTTAGTTGCCTTCATTGAAAGGTATTATAGTTATTTGACATATAGTCGGCCATTTTACTTAGGGGCCATTTACCCAAACGCTTACCCGCTAAGCACTTAGCGGTGAGGGTCTAACACTCTCACTTACCGGATAAGAATATAGTCCATCAAATCAGCATCATAGGCAACAATTTACATGGTAACAACCAACTAGGTAAGAGTTGTCACACTTACTTACCGGGTACGATTCTCGATCCTTGTCATCGGTCTTACCGGGTAAGATTCTGGGTCCTTGCCATGTTCATCAGGTAAGCATTTGGTAAATGGCCCCTTAAACTACATGGGATGTGAAAGTTTGGGACAAATATGTTGTATTCATTTCCATAGAAAGTTTGTTTACAAGATGTTACTAAAATTCAAATTTCATCAATTTTCTGAAACTAAATTGTCAGAGAAACGATGAAGCTTTAGCAATGATGGAGAAGGCTATAGTAGCAGATAGGAAGAATCCTCTCCCGATGTATCAAAAAGCCAACATCCTTGTGAGTATGGAGGATTTCGATGGTGCGTTACAAGTTCTAGAAGAACTTAAAGAATATGCTCCTCATGAAAGCAGCGTGTATGCATTGATGGGAAGGATATACAAACGTCGACTTATGTATGACAAAGCCATGCTTCATTTTGGTCTAGCTTTGGATTTGAAGCCTTCGGCAACAGACGTGGCTACTATCAAGGTGACATCATCTTTTTGCTCTCTATGACTCTTTTCTCTTAGGATGAGTATGATACGAGGGATTGGTTGGGAAAAAAACTTGTTGTTCCATGTTTGACTCGACATTAGACTGGGACATGATAGTATTTTGTTTGCAACAAAAATGCATATTTTTTGTTCCACCAAAATAGATTGGACAAGATTGGTAAATTACTAAATTATCGATGTCAGTTTAAAACCTGGTCATGTCTGGCTACCTAAGGCAACCTTGAGTATTTTCATAGGTTTAATCACCTAAAATGGTTGGGACTTTAATGCCACTTATAATCATCGATAGTTTACGAGCTTTCAGAAAACATATATAAATTGATGAACTTAGAGAACGGTCCTTTTTAACCCTGTGATGACCTGTTATCGCAAGTGCTGATGTGGCATTGCCACATAACGAATCTCTCTCCATTGTAATTTATGTTGGACAATGGTTGGCAGTTTTATTAGCAACAATACCACATTAACACTTTGTGATTTGTTAACTTCTGTACATGTCATTAGTGGGGTTGAAAAGTAAATGGATTTGTGTAAGTTGTTTCTATGTTTTTGAACCAAAATAGATGTAGCATTGGCGTTCCGTGGTCTTTTAGGTGATCGACACTAGCTCAAATTGCGCCAAAATGGAACCGGACTTTGCTTTTACTCCTATTTTGGTGAACTAACTTGAAAAACCTCCATTTTAGGAAACCAACTAACTTTGGTTTCATTCATATTTTTGGGAACATGAATTTGGTCACCGAGTCCCTTAAACGAAGAGTTTTGAAGGTTGGTTCCCGAAATGTAGGTCTTGTAATTTGGTTCTGCAAAATAGCAACAAAATCAAAATTGGTTTCATTTTGGTGCAATTAAAGGCTAGTATATTGAGTTGAACTTCCACGGAATTTGCTGATCTTGTAATACTCAATGACGTGGATACTTGTTTATGGAGACGTGAACCATAAAGCTGACATCCACATAATCAAATGTTTCAAAATCGATTGAGAAGCAAATTTTGATTCATTTTGATGCATTTTTGTTGTTAAATTTTCACAATTGCTGCTGCTACTACTTTGAACATTATTGTACCTTTCTTTTCTACAGGCCGCCATCGAGAAATTACATGTACCCGATGAATTAGAAGATAACTTATAAAGCTCGTATGCAAGTGCAGCTGTAAAATATCTGTCGGGATTTTTGATACAACGAATCTCAACCCTATTTCTGAACCAATCCTCTTCCGTTCTTTAAGCCTTACATTCAGAGTCTTATAGGTGTTAGATGTTCGTATTGCCAGATAAATGAATGTCGTAGACACGATCAATAGTGTTTCATAATTTGTATCATGTACCAAATTAGTTGAACCGCTGGCAAAAGGCTTGTAACATAAGTTATCGTTCGTTGATCTTGTCGGCTAATTTGTTTTCGATTTGTAACATCAATTTTCTTTTGGGTACTATTGTTGAATCTGTCTTCTGTTCTTGCTGATCTGTCTTTAACAGTAGAGTTGTGGGTGTAATCTACAGCGCAGGCATCATCCGTCTGCCGATGGGATGCGTGCAAAATTTCTCTCTTATGATTGTGAGATGAGTACGCTCTAGATAGTGGCAGACACCTCTTTCTTTTTTATCGTTATCTTTGCTTCCATCCCTTTGAATGTGTTTAACGATAAAATTGAAATGGCAAAACCATTGTTCGATAGTTGTTTTTAGTCGTATGTTTGGCGACCGTTGCCCTTTAACATATCACTCACTCGGTTTGAAAAAAGAGAGTCTACATTTCTAACATAGCAATGGCTACTATACATGGCATCATGTGCGTATGTGATTTGATCATTCTCGCATTTCTTGTAAGTTGACGGCCTTCTCGTTTGAGCCTGCCCTAGTTGATTATTCAAAGAGTGAATTATTTGATGAAAGATACGGAATAAAAGACAAACATCATTGAGATAACATAATAATACTACGTGGCCGTTTACCAAATGCCTACTTGGGTAAGCGTTTATGGGTAAAATTCAACACTAATCACTTACTTACCGTGTAAGATTTTAGTTCATCAAAACGATATCGTATGCAATAATCTACCCGGTAAATGCTAACCTTGGTAAGAGTTTTCGCCCTCACTTACCGGGTGAGACTCTTGTCCTTGCCTTCGTTTTTTTTAAGTATATAATACTTATATACTGTAAATAGAACAAATAAACTCACACACCCTCCTCACCTATGCTCTTACCAGGTAAGATTTTTGATCCTTGCCATATTCATCCGGTAAGATAATGTGAATTGGTAAACGCTTATCCGGGTAAGCGTTTGGTAAACGGCCCCTACGTGTACTTGATATCGTAACAAAGAAGCTCCATTAAAAGCCATTCATTTAATTGTATTAGAATGAAATTTGCAATGGGGCCGTTTACCAAATGCTTACTTGGGTAAGCGCTTACCAAGTTACATTACCTTATCGTATGAACATGGAAATGACCATGAATCTTACCCGGTAAGAGCGAGGCAATGACCTAGAGTCTTACCCGGTAAGTGAGGGTAATGACTCTTGCCACGGTTAGCTCTTACCGGGTAATTTGTTGCATAGAAAGCCATTTTTTGTTGACTAAAATCTTATCCGGTAAGTAAATGATAGTGTTGAATTTTACCACTATATGCTTATCGGGTAAGTGTTTGGTAAACGGCCTCTATGTTACTTTTTTTCCTTCTAAAAATTACTTTCAGAAACTTCATGTTGGAGAACATATAGTATTTTTAATACAGTTGTTTACTAAACATTTACGGGGTGTCGTTTGTCTTAATGGGTGGGAATGACAAAAACCAAGAATCTTATCCTATAAGAAGCATAACAATGACTGATAATCTTACCCAGTAAGTGAAGGAAAAGACTTTAACCCGATAAGAAAATATTGTATAGAAGATGCTTACTAACAATATATTTTGGTGACCGAGAATGTTATCTGATAAGGTAAGTAAGAGTCGTAACCATTGTTGGTAAGTAATTACCTGGTAAATATTTGATAAATTGCCTCTATGTCTTCGATACAGTAACATAACATATTATACTTTATGAACAGAAAAAAAGCATTATAATTTTGTAAATTAAATGAAAATGTAATGTATTTTGTTTGGATTCACATTGTGTGTAACATATTTTTAAAATTTTCATTTTGGTATCTAAGATGTGACATTTTAAACATTTAAGTACATTCTTATTAAACTGATGATGTTGGAAAGGTAATAACTCGGGAAATTAATAGAAATAGCCATTTCAGCCGACCTAATTTACCTTTTAGCAATTTCTCTCTCAAGTTTTAGAAAATTCACTATCTCTGCAAGTATCAATTCCTTAACTTACGAAAAGGTCAAAAAGTAAAATGAAAAAGAAATTTTTGAACATGATCCACAAGTACAGATTCCCAAATCTGTAAACTCGTCTGTTATACTTAAAAAGTTAATAATTAGTTTAGAAACGAAAATAACAATAAATTATAAACTATAGGGACAAAAACTACAATTCTAAACCATAAAGACGAAAATTGAAACTTTTAACAAACCATAGGGATGAAAAATGTAATTTACTCTTTTTCTTATATGCATCTCAAACTTGTACATAAGTAGTCTAATTTTGCACAACCAAAGAATACCACTCATTTGCTATGTCAGCATGGTAAGTAGACATGTTATCCAGGTATTTAAATATTTGAGATGTCGTATCTCGATTATTAAAACGAAAGTGTTGTAAGTACGTTATCCAAGTGGGAATCCAAATAAAGTACGTTACATTTTCATTCAATTTGCGGTGAGTGTTGTTCTGAACGATAAATTGATTAAGGGTGAATTATTATAAGGGAAAAGTTCAAAAAAAAAAAAAAACCCAACGAACTTTCTCATTTTTTAAGATTAGGTATAGGACTATTTTTTTAATGAATAAATCATTGACTTTTCACATTTTGAATAATTAAGTCTTTGAACATTTTTTTATGAATACCATTGAACTTCTGGAAACCGGTTATTTTCATCATTTTAACGCAAAAAACTACATGTAACCGGTTTAGAATGGTTTTAAAGTAAAAAACGTAAATCAGTCATACAGATCCAAATCCTATGTCATTTAAACATCTCGTAGTTAACACCATCATTCCCCCTCGCCATTCCTTGTCGTCTGATAACTATCATTTTTGCGAGTTATTCATTACTCTTTTCTAGTGCTTTATTTACCCATTTGACTTCTATCTCACTTATTTTGTCTAAATCGTTCTTAAGAAGTGATGAATTACCAAGGATTAATTTTTGTGCTATAAGGGACGCTGCTGTGGACAGTGGGATAAGGGACGCTGCTGTGGACAGTGGGCATTATTTGCTCACTGTAGGTATGTTCGATACTACTTTTGGACAAAGAAATGTCTTGCTTTTATATGGTCTATGAGTATAATATTTGAAGATTTGAAGTGATCTGAAGATCTCTTAAAGATGAGAGAAATAATAAACACCTTTTGCAGTAAAATGATTAAAAAATGTTTCATCAATTGGACAAAGACCTCAACTTTTCATATATAAAGAAGCATGGTGCAAACATTAAAGGATCATCCGCTCTCCAACCAAGAGCTATCATCTAAGTTCATTGACTCTTGTGTTTGGAGATTTAGTGTAAAATTTAATTTTCAGAATTTAATTTCTATATTTCAATTTTTTGTATTGTAATTTGCTGTCCACAACCTGTCCTCTGTGGCCAAGCTGTCAATCTTATTTTAATGCAAACATTTTTCAAGTATTTATTTATCATGTTTTTAATTTCTAGTATGAACTAATCACCTTATTGGGTGTGAGTGTGAGTTAAACTTAAAGCTAGTAGGCAACACTTGGGTGCTGCCATCGTTGCTAATTCTTAAGTTTAGTCACTTAAGTCGAGACTTAAACTCAATGCAGATAAGTTGATCACTTTGAAATGTTAATATTAGACCTTAGACTCAGAGATGGACGAATTTGAAATACGGCTTAAGTGATGCACAAAGATTTGAGAAATTCTTTGATAATCACATAGAGGTATGAGTTTTGTATGATTTACTAAGATTCAAACTTCAGTCGAGTTTTATATAACAAATAGATTGGGATATAAATCTTTATACTAATCGAACTTGATTTTCATTTATCAAACTTAGTTAAATTGGCAAGATTACGAATCAACAAAGGTCGACACTTCGTGGGCACAGTCTATAAAGGTTCATTTTCAAGAGATCGAGATCTTTATAGACAATTATGTGATACACAATGTATCTGACCATTTTGTTACTACGGTTGCCTTAAGAAAAACTTACACCTATATCCATCTTTTAATCATAAGTTTATTTCGTCTTTCAAGCATTTCTAGCAACAAAAACTTGACTTCTATTCACACCGAAACATGCTCAAGAAGTTCATGCAACTATCTGATTCTCAGTAGTCCATTCCTTGTGGAAACAATCTTAGGACTATACCACTTTATTACTTGTAGCGATCATAGTGTCGACATGCACTTACACCGCCAATGTGGAGACTTTGTGCCCACCATGTGAACACATACGATTCATAGCAATCATCGCCCCGCCGTCATCCATTCTCTATCATTGCGTAACCATCACCGTTGTTGCCCCTGCATCCGATCTCCCTTTTTAATATAAAAAGGATACATAATATAAATTTAGTTACAACTTCTATTTTAGGGACAAAAATGATTTAAATTATAATTATATGTTAACATTTTAAGAATAAATTACAGATTTGGGTCCTGCATCTTTATTTATTACATGATAAAGTTGTATGTTTGCATTTTATTTTGGATAAAAAGATTTTGATTTAGGGTTTAGGGTTGGTATTAATGAATAGAATGAACATTTAGGAAAAAGATATGAAAAAACAATAATACAGGAAAATGATAAAAAGACAAAAATACCCTTATAGTTAAATGAGCATAATGAATAGCGGTTAAGGTGAGCCCTTATAATCAAATGAGCATAAGAACCAAATCCAAAACAAGATGGAACTTTTCTTTCCAATATCCATGACAAAGAAAGATTAAATTACGGGGACGAGGGAGAATGGTGGAAATTGTTGGGTAATTGATTTTGAGAAGTAGGAGAAGTTCCCGTGTTTCTAAATAATTAATTCTTTTAAATGATTATGACCTTATGACATACTGTGGTAATAGTTATATTCTTATATTTGTGAAATGAAAGCCCTATTTATGATTGATTTAGTATATTTACTTCCCCTTAAAGTAATCACTACTAGAAAACTAGGTATTAGCGACGAATATTAGCGAGGGGTTTTCAGCGAGGGAATGAGTTTTTGGCCATTCCCTCGCTGAGGGAATCTGTTTTTGGCCATTTTTTTATTTAATAATTACAAATTTAATTACTTATTAATTTTTAATTATTGATTATTAAATTTCTAATT